CTCTTGCTCACTCGCTCTCTCCTATAAATAAATCTTTAAAAAAACAAGATAAGTGATACATGGGTTGTCCCCAGAAGGAGGTAGTGGCATGGAAACGAGGAGAGATGCAATGGACTTTTTTGTACAGGAAGAAGTGGCAGATGACGGATTTGTGCAGACCTGGAGCGTCACAAATGACACCGAGTCTCCAGACTGGATAAATGTGAAATGGTGCCAATGGTTCCAGTTACAGAAATGTGCATTTGGGGAAAGCGCTGGGTAGCTGACTGGTCCAGGCAGGCTGCATTTATGATGGGAAAGCAAAGAGGAATGGCTAGAAATAGAAAGAAAGCTCCCCCTGCTTGTGCACTCTCTCTCCCAAATAAATAAAGTATTTAAAAAAAAAAAAGAAAGAAAGAAATGGAAGGAAAGCTAAGAGAGCACAGATAACAGATTAAGAAAATGTCAAAAAGGGAGTCCGGATGAGAGAGCGGATCAGTCAACAGAATGAAATGAGATGAAAGGGAGAGAAAGGAAGACGGCCGACTGGGGTCACCAGCAGCCGCTGCTCTACTCTCCACGGAACAGCCTCGACAGAGCAGGAGAGAAGGGACACCGAAGACGGTGAAGGAGCAATTGAGCATACTGTGTTAGCTCCTCAAGTCTAAAATCCAAGGTACCATCGATTCCTCTCTTTTCTGCATGGCCACCCCAACTCATCCAACACCCCTACAATACCATGTTTCTATCTCCTCTCTCAGACCCCAGCCCAGGCCACATCCAGGACTCCCCTTGACTACTGCAATAGGACGCTGTTTTGTTTTGTTTTTTAAGATTTTATTTATGTATTTGACACACAGGAAGGGAGAGAGAGAGACAGAGAGGTGCATAAGCAGGGAGAAGGGCCAGCAGGGGAGAAGCAGGCTCCCCACTGAGCAAGGAGCCCGATGGAGGGCTCGATCCCAGGACCTTGGGATCATGACCTGAGCCAAAGGCAAATGTTTAACTGACTGAGCCACCCAGGTGCCGTAACAGGACCCTATTTGCTCTCTCTGCTGAAACGTCTGCCTTTGTTCCAGTCCTCCCCGGGGAACTCTGCTATACGAAACTCTAGATGATGCTTCTTAAAATGTGTGTGGTGAAGAACCAGTCCTCACCACCCCACCCCATCCATTGTGGACCAAGTGTTCTTCGAAACACAACAAAAGTGAGTTACTGTTAATCACATGCCTTGAGGCTGCCAACATGTCAAAATGCTGTAAGTTCTTAACCCCTTCCCTTGTGCCTAGGCGGAGACGGTGTGAGGACTGATGGCCCACACACCACACGGGAGTTCCAATGCTCTGGCCTCTGATGGCCTCTTGACCACCACTCTCTCCCTCCTTTATTCTGACCTTGCCTCCTTCACCCTGTTCAAGCCACTTTTGACAACATCAGACCCGTTTCCCTAGAAGTTGTGCACCTGCCGTTGCCTTCGCCTGGATCATTCCGGCCCTTCACTTTCCCATGTGTTGACTCCTCATCACTCAGGGTTCGGTCCAAATGTCACCTCAGAGACGTCTTCCTGTACCATCTATTCTGGATTTTATTACTAAATATTTCAAACAATGGGAGGCCCTAAATTGCCAGCTGGGTTTCCACAAATATTTTTCCTTTTTAGAGTCTATGAACCGAAGGAAACAATCCACGTTTTAGTAGTTTTTCCCATTTCATAGCAACTGGCTTCCTGGAGTTTCCCTTTCCAGATGTCCAACAGGGCCAAATGGCAAGGGAGGGCTGAGCAGTCTACTGAATGGAGGCTTAGTAAGATAATTAAAACTTGTAACCAGAAAGAACACTAGATTCAGGAGGGTCAGGGCCTAGTCCCAGCTTTGGCAACAACTCACTTCCTGTGTGACTTTAAGCAAATCACGTCACCTTCATCTCATTTTACATCTGGTAGAGGAAAGGAGGGAAATGGAGCACAGACTAATCATTAGGGTCACCACCGATTTTACTACCTAAGTAAGACACTTTTGAGAGTCAAAGAAGGTGCTGTTCTTAATTCTGCCAGCACAACACACATAATATTGATCCTGGGGAAACCAAGACGGATGTCGCCTTACCTTGGCTCCCAAGTTCATCGCTTCTCTAGAAACATCTATGGGCGTTCACCTTCCTCATGTTCCAGGGGTGGCTCCATCTGGCACATCCCAGGTGCTCTGTAAGTGCTCACCCCATTTTCTTTTTGGGAGCTCTCCTACATGCTTTATGTAGTCCAAACTCCTGGTCCGTTCTACAATTTCACCATCCTATAAAGACTGAACTGTGCTTGTGTCAAACAGCGATGCCCCTCCTACTAACAACACTTTTTCCAAGAAGGTAAATATTTAGGTATGAACCTCCTCCTTTTTCAAACCAAAGAATAAGTAGTCAAAGGACCTACGTGAGTCTCATGTTCTACAATTATTAAAAGGCTAGAATGGGGTGAAAACCTTGTTTTCCAACCCAGTTTGCTAACAGACCATATTAACCACATATAACATAAAAGAGAGGAAACTTAAAACACACATATCCACGTATACAATTTGCAAATCTCAGAAGCAAATAGAACAGTCTATATAGACCAAAACTCTGATTGCCCAAAGCCAGGTAAGCCCACGGCTGACCTACACTTCGCCAAACATGGCATATAACAATTTCCTAGCAGTCAGTTGTTTTATCTAAGGAAAGTACATCTTGGCTGTAATAGATTTTCCTTCAGGACCAATGCTATTTTATGCCTTAGGTGCTTCAAAGGGTCCACTTATTTACTTTTTAACCAAAACTGAGCTGGTGTTGGATGGGAAGGCAATGGGGCAGTCGCTCCTGTGTGCAAGGAGACTTCCGCCTCTCTAGCCCTTCCAGAATGTTCTTTCACCATTCATTAAAGAATTACAGATCTGAGTCAGACCCATGGCTCATACCATTTATGGGTGACACGAATCAATATTCTGAGAACATTTCTGATTAAGGAAATGAATATCCATTCGGCCCATGGCAAGATCAAACGGCAAGGGGGTTGAACAAATGCTACAGAATATCCCAGGAGAGGATCTAGCCTTGGTACACAAAGAACTGGACATGTCAGTTTACTTCCTACTCTTCTGGAATAATCTCAAAACAAGTGGTGGAGGTCACATGAATTCGGAAAGAGACAGGAAAAGCTCTGCTGAAATGTTGCAGGACCTGAATAAAGAAGAACCCTTATAAACAGAGAGAAAAGGAAAACACAAAGCAAAACCAGTAACACTTTCACCATTACAAACGAAAACTGACAAGTGAAAATCTGTTTCTGAGATGTCTCTAGATAATGTCTAGACTATCACTCGTCTCCAAAGCCTTTAAGACTTTTTCATCCTCAAAGTCATATAAGGGGGCACCTGGGTGGCTCAGTCAGTTCAGCGTCTGACTCTTAATCTCCGCTCAGGTTTTGGTCTCAGGGTCCTGAGTTCAAGCCCTACATTGGACTCCATGCTGGGCTTGGAGCCTACTACTGAAGAAAAAAAACAAAACAAACAAACAAACAAAACAAAACAAAAAAAAGTCCTATAAGATCCAAAGCCCAGACATACAAAATTCTCTTTTTAAGAGAGGCTTCCCCAAACAGAGGAAGGCTAGATCTGTCTTCACTCGTGAGGGGTTTAATCACTTTCCGAGTTAGGAAATGCCTTCCTGAGCCCGGGTCTTGGATATATCTCCTGCTGGTCACCTGTATAGACCAGCTAGCACCACACTCCCCCAGAGGAGCAAACATGCCTGGAATGTGGCTGTGCTCTCTAGCAATTTCAGGGAAGAGCTCTAGGACCTTAGAAAAAGGCATTTCTTTGTTTTATAAACAACACAAAGGAAGAAGCTTCTTTTCTTATTCCCTGTGCTAACTCTCAAGTTCATTTGGAATACTCTACTTGGGCCATTTTCAAACCTTAAATAGATTTTACAACAACCTGTCCCTCTTGGTCTTCCTTAGCCTTTGAGAAGTTACTTTAAAAGATCATTTAAAACGTTTTAGTTGGATGCTTGATAATTTTAACCTTTCTCAGATGTCTCTCTTTAATGATCTGAGAACCACTGTTAAAATACTCTTAAGAAGGAGAGATACCATCCTGGGTTTATTTTCACTAAGCTTTTGTTACAGTCTTAGGGTTGTTATTCACCAGCTGTCGGTGCACTTTAATCGCACCACGTGGGAACCCTAGCCCACTCGAGTGGGAGGGATGTGGAGGATCCCTGAGGACAAAGAGTGAGGGACTTCCCCGCCTCTTCCTCTACCACTCCGCCCAATAGAACACCTGCCTATGATGACTGTTTCAAGAGGATGTTTCCAGTTTCCAAACAAATAAATAGGTCGACGACCTCTAGATGGACCACATCACAAGGAGTGGACTCAGAGATGAAGCCCTCTTGCCTTCGTCCGGTGTGAGGCTGGCTAACCCCTCAGCCACCGGTGCACCAGCAGCCACAAACAGGACTGTTTATTTAATTTAGCCTCTGCATCAACTCTAATGGGAAAGTGGATTCACTAATGTTTTCCCAAACGGAGTATCTCTTTGGATAGAAATCATGGGGTATTTGCTGTCTGGTTGATGGTAACTGACTGCAAAATGGCCTCAGGTCCCTTATCTAGGAAAACTTATGGCCGAGACTCAAACTACCAGATGTCACCTAACCCAAGGCTCATGGGTCCTATCTTTATCAATGATTAAAATAAAGGGATTTTTAAACCACTCTCTAAATATAAAAGCACACCTAAAGCACAATGCATTCATTAGGATTCATGAAGGTGAAAATAATCATGTCCATTGCTCGAGACGTTGAGGGGATCACAGTGAAAACATGAGCTTGATGAAGCCCCCAGACCCAGTGCTTGGTGCTTAACAGGTACTCAGCAAAAAATATAGAGTAGCTACTCTTGACTGTTTTTAGGGAGTCTTAGACCAGGGAGTGGAAGCAGGGAAGACAGAGAGCAGACACGCTGCAACCCTGTCCCCGCACACACTTACTGCGTCTCAGCCCCGAGCAGCATCTCCACTTTCTCACTCGCATGGTTACTAAGGATGGTCAGAGTGAAGAGGTGGTTGGCAGAGCTCTGTCTTGAATAAAGCATTGTGGAACTGTTCTTCCCAGGAGAGGAATTCAGCTCTTCATTGTCACAAGATTCCACCAGTAGCTGATCTCTTAAGGAATAATCATTGACGTTGTAACTTTCTTCACTGTGAGGAAAAGGGAAAAGAACATGTCAACAATTCAGCGGATAGGACTGTGACATGGTCAGTTTTCATGTGGCCTTTGGGGAGAAGGTGTTGGGCGGGGGGAAGGAAGGATAAGGATAGAATGATTTATTTTAAAATGTGAGCTGGAATCTGAATTATATATATATACAATGATTATGAATCAATATACACTTCCCAAATTAAGCCCGTAAATTACTATTTCTCTGTATTATGCTAAATTCTATCTCAGGTTTAAAAAGCAATAGTAAACATGCCCTTCAATGGACGAATGGATAAAGAAGATGTGGTCCATATATACAATGGAGTATTGTGCCTCCATCAGAAAGGATGAATACCCAACTTTTGTATCAACATGGACAGGACTGGAAGAGATTATGCTGAGTGAAATAAGTCAAGCAGAGAGAGTCAATTATCATATGGTTTCACTTACTTGTGGAGCATAAGGAATAACACAGAAGACATGGGGAGATGGAGAGGAGAAGTGAGTTGGGGGAAATCGGAGGGGGAGATGAAGCATGAGAGACTGTGGACTCTGAGAAACAAACTGAGGGTTTTAGAGGAGAGGGGGTCGGGGGGTTAGGAGAGCCTGGTGGTGGGTATTAAGTAAGGAACACTGGGTGTTATATGTAAACAATGAATCTTGGAACATTACATCAAAAACTAATGAGGTACTGCACAGTAATTAACATAACACAATAAAAAATAATAATTATAAACGCTCTCACTTTCATCTTACATTATGCTGGAACTGTTGTCACAAGAGAGACACACACACATAGTGGTAATGCTCAGACAGGTATGCTTCCCCAGTCTTCCCTCTGTCCACAGAATAAAGAGGGACTCCCAAACCTACCCACGCTCTGGGTAACAAGGGCTCACTCCCAGACTCCAAACTACCAGGCACAGGGCAGAAGGAGAGTGTCAGAGGTCTGCCTGAGCTGTCTGTCCTTCTCCCAACACACATAGCCTCACCACCTGCTTCAGAAACTATCAGCACTGATTTCTCTATCCCCGCTTTTGCCCAAGATCCCCAGTAGTCCTCACTCCCCTGGACTCTCATTCCCATAGCACTGTGAACACGCCTGGTCTGGCCCCACCTTCCCTGAGCTCCTCAGCTGGTTTCTGAACCCCTTCTACTGGGTCCTCGGGAAATGGACCTCACGAAAGGAATCCAGCAAGATCTTAACAAATCCTCAGCCTTGTCCTTGAACCCTCCCTTTCTGGCCTTAAGAGAAATTTGGCTGTCCCTGGAAAATGTGGCCTCTCCTGAAGGTTCTCTGCCAGCTTGCTTCTTGGTGCTGCTGCCAGAAAATGATCACTTCCTCTTCCCAAAAAGTCTTTAGCTTAGAAGCTCATGCTGTCTGGCTCTGCCTCATAATCAAAGTCAGGGACAGACTCCTTATGAGTCATCGCCCCTTTTGAGTTTAGTTGCTGGCTATGATGTCTCCCCAACACGACTTTCTTGAGTTTCCATGGAGGGGAGCCTTCCATTACTCTGGCTTCTCAGTTCCTTGACTTCCTCTTCGCCAACCATCTTATCCTCTCTCCTTCAGCTACCCCACCATTGCCATACCTCAGACCTTGCCATTGCCATCAACCGTAACGTCTCTGTAATCCCAGTGTCAATCACCCTCTTCAACCATCGTCTCTCCAATTCCTTCTTTCTTCTAATCCTCAATCCCAGTCATTCTTTAGCCCTCTTACTCTACACCACATTTCCCCTGTCCTTAAACCCTTCACGCCCTCTCATTTATACTTATTAAAATTACCCAGCTTGGGCCTCTTGTAGTTACAGTATGTGGTTATAATCACTCCGTGCAAACACACTCACCTCCTTGGCAAATCCCAACCCTGAATAGATCCAACTCTCCCTCTACTCTGCCTGCATGTGTACCCTTGCAGCTAAACACGGGAGAGCTCTAGAAATAACTGCTGAATAAATGTATGATTATGTACTGTATCCTAATATATTCTAGGAACAAAACTGACTATTTACCTTAATTAAAAGTAATTGCAGATGTATGAACTCAGAAGAACTAAGAGAAAAGGAAACCCCTTGCACCTAATCAACTACACTAGGAATTTCAGGATAGGCCACTTTGCTCAAGATTTCTTAGAATTTCTCTCATTCAGTGGTGGACATCTGCCTGTCAACCCTTTCCTTATAGCTCTCCCTAGACAACTTTAAACATCTTTACCAAAATGTAGTTTGATGGATACCCCCCCTCAAAAAGACAGCAAGCAGTTATCTATAAAAGCAAAATACTACCTTCTGATCAAGTCTAACTGGTTGCTAGGGTAATCATCTGTATTAACTGAGAGTTCCCATGGCAAGATCATTTCCAAAGCTCTCCTGAAACTGCCTACAGACCAAGACGGCCACAGTCAGGATATATAAAAATAGTTCTCACATCAGAATAAGGTTTAACAAAGTTCATATGATTTTTACAAAAAGAGAAAGCAGGATACTACACTTTACAAACAAATAAGGTTATATAAATATATATATATGTATATATATATATATATATGTATGTGTGTATATATATATACACATACATATATATATATATATACATATATATATATGTATTCTAGAGTGAGAGAGCAAGCATGAGCATGGCAAGGGGCAGAGGGAAACTCTCAGGCAGGCTCCCCACTGAGTTCAGAGTCTGACGTGGACTTGATCCCACGACCCTGAGATCACGACCTGAGCTGAAATCAGGAGTTGGCCGCTTAACCAACTGAGCCACCCAGGTTCTCCAGGTTCTATTTTTAACAGGCCATTTTACCAGAAACAAAGCAGTCAATTTTTGGCTCTTCAGGGAAAGTTTATAATGTCTAGATATCTCAAACATCGACTTAACAGCTCAGGACTCAGGATAAACACCAAACCACAAAACATAAAAGCAAAAAAACTAAAATAAAATCTCAACAACATTAAAAACAAATGAACGGATGAGATGAATGAGGGCTTCATTGTTACCGTGCTCTGTCTGTTCCTCTTAATCTTCTGGTCCAACTCACAAGGTAAACAAGACGGTTGGTTAGGCAAAGACACCCCTTTCCAGTTAAAAATAATTTTGTTTGCTCAGAGAAATCCAAGCTTCCTAACGCGTGTGCATGGGTATTCAGGTAGTGCCCTAAACAATGACACTGTACAGGTATTCTTCCTATTTCCAAAGGAATAAAAGGCAAAGGAACCATCATTCAAGATGACTCAAGTTCTACCTATGCGGCAGTCCCACTAGAATCCAAGACCAAGAGGCCACAGGAAGGCCATGTAAACAGGCATGAATAAACTAGTTCAGTCTTTCTTCTCCTTTCGATTTTCTGAGTTCCTCTTTTCCCTAGTGTTTATATAAATACAAACAATATCCACTAGTGTGTTTCATTAATGCTCTGAATCTTTCTTCTGGGGGCAATTAAGGCCAGAAAAAGTAGAAAAATGAAGAGTGGTTTTTTGTTTTTTTTTTGTTCTCTTAAGCAATGACAATCACAACAGCATTAAGAACTGAGGTGACTGTGTGACCCCATTTCTGCCTGTTGTCCTGGGAAGATGAACTGTGGCCACTTTACAACTCTGTGAGGAACCCGCTTCTGTGCATCTGCACATCTGTGTCATTGATTATGACCGAACAGGGAACCTGCCCCACTGTTCAGACTTTTGCATCCAAACAGGACACAGGAAACACGTCTTTGTGGTGGTGGTTTGTTTTTTTTTTTTAACGGATTCAACAGCAATTATCCAATATCACTATTTCTTCTAGACATGTAAACTTGTTTATTACACAATAAATAACACAACTTCTTTACTTCTTTTTTAATAGACTTATATTAGAAAATAAACCCTTCACTTCATTTAACAGTAGTGAAATAAATTGATTATTTATGCTCACCTTCTAGTGTTCAAACCCAACAGGACAAAAACTAAAAAGCGACTCCATCTCGCTAGCACGTCCATCTTCTCCCACACACCCAGGCTCACACACTCAACCTCCTGAAAGTTCAAAATAACCATATTTTCTCCTCTCAGAATTTGCTAAATGCTGGATGAAATTCATTCTGCTCATGTCCGTCAGCACCTTACTTGCTCATGCTGCTACCAAAAGGATAACTCTGGGTTAAAATATGTGCCTCAGCAGGAGGAAGAGGGGCGAATCCACAGGCAGAGGCAGCAGCTTACAAACTATTGCCCCACTCGGCTTCCTCCCCCACGTCCAGGATAACACAGCCTCAGCGGGGCTGGGAAAGACACCCCTTTCCGGAGGGAAGTTGCTGCTAATCAGACTTCCCCATGTTTGTCTCTACCATTTAACAAACATATGGTTTACATAGTCTCCGAAACAATTTGGACCATGTAATTAGGAAGTTAAATTGCTCAGAAAAAGGCAAATGGAAAAACCACCTTTCCTTGCATGGAGAAGTTTATACGCGGACTTCCTCCGATTGTCTGATAGGAGCTGCAAGTTCGCCAGCTGCGCGTGGAGGCCGTCTGCTCTGCGAGGGCAGCAGCCCCTATCAGGTGCAGCAATCCAATCTATAGAAGTCTCTAGCTCTGTGGTGTAAACAACGAAGCGACTCCCTGTTGAAACCTACCTAAAGTTCTAGTAACCTCTGCTGAGATTCTTGTCTTTTTCTTTGAACCGAGATAGAGAACGATCTGTAGACAACAGGATGTGGTGGTAAACACATACCTCAACTCTTCTCCCTCAGGAAGGCATTCTTTGGTTAGGCACCCCAGACAGCGTGTGGTCCTACTCTACGCTACCTCGCCGCGTGCGTTAGAACACCATATACCTTACTGTGAATACTGGCCTTCTTAAAAAGATCACTATGGATCGCTGTGAACTTTCTCACCCACCAATTTCTCTAAAGGGTGGAAGTTTTCATAATGGGCCGATATTCATTACTTTTCAATCAGGACAGCACGTGACAACAGTGGACGACGTGCCCTCATTTTTAAAACACCACAAGCA